GTCTAGGAAAGTGCCAAAATTTAATTGGAATAGATCTTTCTTACAACAATCTTAGTGGGACAATACCCTGTGAAGTACTTGAGCTGTCATCCTTGTCTATTGAACTAGATTTATCATCAAACTCTTTGACTGGTGAGCTTTGTGTTGGAGTAGAAAAGCTGCAAAATCTAGGTGCATTGAATCTTTCCAACAACAAATTATCTGGTTTTCTTCCAAAGAACATTGGCAGATGTGTAAGCTTGGAGTATCTGTTCTTGGATGGCAATTTGTTTGAAGGACCTATTCCTCCATCTTTGAGTTCATTGAGAGGTCTTATGGCATTGGGCTTATCTGACAATAATCTTTCAGGTAAGATTCCAGAATTTCTTGAGAGCTTTGGGGCATTACGGTATTTAAACGTATCTTTCAATGATTTTGAGGGAGCGATACCGAGTGAAGGAATCTTTAATAATGCAAGTGCTACATTCGGTAGAGGAAACAATAAGCTTTGTGGAGGTATCCCTGAGTTACACCTATCTAGATGTAACAGAAAAAGATCGAACAAAAGATTAAAAATTGCAATTGTTGTTGTGAGTTTGGGACTGATTGTGGTATTCTCTTTTCTCCTCATCTTATGGTTTAGAAAGAAAAAAAAGCAGCAGCCAATAGCAACTTGTGCAGAAAATTCGCTTTTACAATTATCGTACAAAAGCATCCTAAAGGCTACTGATGGATTCTCTATGCAGAATTTGATTGGTTCAGGAAGTTTTGGTTCTGTGTACAAAGGAATCCTTGAAGAGAGTGGATCATTGATTGCGGTAAAGGTTCTCAATCTTTTTAACCATGGAGCTTCGAGGAGTTTTTTGGCTGAATGCGAAGCCTTGAAGAACATTCGACATCGGAATCTTGTCAAGGTATTAACAACGATTTCAGGGGTTGATTACCAAGGCAATAATTTTAAAGCCTTGGTGTACGAGTTCATGGAAAATGGAAGCTTGGAGGACTGGTTGCATCCATACGTCAAAATGAATGAACCTGAGACAACAAGAAACTTGAACTTCTTACAAAGAGTAAGTGTGGCGATAGATGTTGCTCATGCACTCGAATATCTACACCATCATTGTGAAACACCGATCATTCATTGTGACCTCAAGCCAAGCAATATTCTACTTGATGAGGAAATGGTTGGTCATCTAAGTGATTTTGGCTTGGCAAAAATCCTTTCTTCAAACATGCTTAACTATTCTACTAATCAATCAAGCTCCCTCGGGTTAAGAGGAACCATTGGTTATGTTCCAACAGGTCGATTCTCTATATTCATTTCCTCAACTTCTATAATCATTCTTTATATTCTTCGCATATTCAAAGCATGAATGTGAGAGGAAATCTTGATACTATATAATTTGTGATAAATGAATTGCAGAATATGGCATTGGAGACGAGTTGTCAACAAAAGGTGATGTATATAGCTATGGAATTCTCTTGCTGGAGATGTTTACGGGGAAAAGGCCGACTCATGATATGTTCAAAGAAGGTTTCAGCATTCACCACTTTGTTATGCAAGCTTTGTCTAATCGAGTGACTGAGATTATAGATCCCATTCTTCTTCAAGAGCGAGCTATTCAAGGAAAAAATTCAAGTATAACTCACAGTGACATACATCTTCAACACTTGAATTCAATATTTGAAATAGGACTCGCTTGTTCTGCTGAATTACCTAGTGAGCGGATGGACATGAGCGATGTTGTTCCCAAGCTTTGTTCTATTCGAGACAAGCTTCTTCGTGTAACTTGCTCACATCGTGAGCACCAAGCTTTATATGGTACTAAATCAGAAGGTAAACAACTAACATTGTTCTAAACAGAATAATCAATCATTACATGAGTTCAGATAAATGCTTTAATTCAAATGATTTTAACAAGCAAAATGAATTTTGATTACATTCTGTTATAGTAAATCTGATGGTTTAGACCCTTCCTTGTTTTCATATGTTGCAGGTACCTAAGGTTCCATAGTATGAACGGTTTTGAGTAGCTAAGGTCAGGCAAAGTGCTTCTATTACATTTTATTCACATCCTATCTGGAATTTTCAGGACTCGGCTTTACAGTACAAGAGTTGGGAAAATGATTAATATGTGGTTTACAGATTGGTATTTAGGGGCTGTTGCTGCTTCTATTTTCCTTTCAGATAATAGCTACTCAATAGTTTTTCTTTCTATTGTTATTTGTGGTCTTCGAGTCTATGCAGCTTTGATTTGCGAACTTAAACATGCTTATATAAAACGAGTTAATCTCGGAAGATGATAACAATGTTTGTCGTTTATTGTTTGAGTCTTGAGATTTGATACTTTAATATTGTGATTTACTTATGGATTTTATTTTCTAATTTTCTATGAAGTATCGACTTTATTTACGAATGTTTACATTTATTTATAATTTTAATTTTTTTATATGTCGTATTCTTGCCGTCCCAGTACCCTATAATTTTAAAAATTGTCATTTCCTGTCCCGGTCCCGTATCCATCCCCGTATTCTCATCAGTTCAACATAGGTGTTTAGGAGTGGCAATGTCTCGTTTCTCCACGAGGCAACATACTAGATTTGAGCTTTCTCAGAGCTCCAAGTTCACCATCCTATATAGAAAAATAAAAATAAGTTAAATATACTATATAAAAACTATACAGAAACTATTACTTTTTTTTGAAATATTTATGAAAAAAGTTTTAAAAAAAGTTCACATAATGTCGAAAAGCATAATTATAGCTATTTTTGAAAAAAAATTAAATTAAGAACTACAATTATTGATAAACGTTTAAATTTTAGAAGAAAAAACAAATATAATTAATTGCACCCTTAACTTTATAAGGGATGATTTAGTAATAAAAAAGATAAATTAAACAAAAAAAATTATCTGAAATTGACAACATATTATTAAAGAAAATAGTAAATGACCTATTTTTTACACGACAAAAAAATGAAAAAGAAAACATTGAAATGGAAAGTAAATAATGATTATATACTTCCCTCGGTGAGATGGTTAGTATTATTACACGCGTTCTAATATGATTGGTGGGGCACATATTTTTATTAGATTTTAATTAATAACGGATGCACTTGGCTCCGGATAAGTGAATACCCATTATTTTAGATAAATTATTAAATTCAGTTCAATGTGTTAAGAGAACGAGAAAAATGAGATATTCGCATACCCATTTTGTTTAAGAAAATGAGCATTAAAATTTCGGACCTCATTCATAAATTTCTGGAATAACCACTAATTTTAATGATAATAATTAAAAATATTTTTATAAGTGTAAATCTAAGTTTATTAAAATGAACAAATACACATTAGAATGAACAATGTACGAACCAAATGATATATGTGATAAATGAATTGTAGTTATTTTTTGAGGTCTCGGGTTTGACCACCATGAATGTCAAGGGTGCGAGCATTCCATGTAAAACGGAGAGCCGGATGTCTAGGGGAGAACCAGATCATTTGCAAAGCCCTTGATGATTAAAGAAGTTATATGCCCTTCTTATTAGTTATTACATAGAATATGGCATGGGAAGCAAGTTGTCAACAGAAGGTGGTGTCTATAGCTATGGCATCCTCCTGCTAGATATGTTTACGGGGAAAAGGCCGACTGATGAAAGGTTTAAAGAAGGTTTAAGTATTCACAAGTTTGTTAAGGCAGCGTTTCCCGAACGAGTGATTGAGATTGCAGATCCCCTTCTTCAAGAGAGTGTACAACGAGGAACAATCGAAGACATCACTCTCAATGAAAACAGGCAGAGAAATGACAAACATCTTCAGTGCTTGAATTTGATGATGGAAATAGGACTTACTTGTTCTGCTGAATCACCGAGTGAGCAGATGGATATGAGTGATGTTGTTACCAAGCTTTGTTCTATTAGAGACAAGCTTTTTCGTCCAACTCAATTACATCGTGGGATTCGAACTTCATAAGCTGCACAGTCAGAAGGTAATGTTGTCTTCTTACCTTAGCCATTCATTTCATCAATTGAGGCAGATTTCCACTACTTTGGAGATAATTGTTGTGTTTAGACATATGAAGAAGTAAAAGATATTTTCATGTTTGCAAGTTGCAGGTATCTAAAGTGTCGTATTGATGAACATGAGAGACTTAGGTCAGACAAGGTGTTGGCTTGTCTCTTTTGTTCACATTCTACATGGTATTAGCAGGTCATCAGACCAGGATTCATGATACTGCAAACATGCTGTGCTTTTTCACAAATTAAATCTGAAGTTCAATGTACCAAGATTATTTGCTTCACCATCACACATGCACCAGACTTTGCGGTATGTTATGTTCAGCATTTAGTGCTCAAAAGCGTTTGACAAAAGAATTTGATTGATAACGAACGCAAGCAACTAAGGTGCGTTTCATACACTTTACAAAGTGCTTGTTTTTTTCTTTTTATTCTTCATGGCCTTTTAAGTTGAAGGAAAACCATAGGACATTGCTCGCCGAAACTCATTACGATGTTAATTTCCTAATTATATATAGTTTCTCTGCAATCTGTATTTAACATAATCTTTTTTTCCTCGAACTTGTGGCTGTTAACATAATCCTCTTCAATATTGAGGCTACAATCTGAAGCAACATAGTAGATTTTGATGTTACGGAGTCGTCCTACTGTACCGATAACTGATACTAAAGCTTTGATCCACAGAGGGATGTGATTTATGTTTCATAGAGATTACAGACACACTATATGATTATATGTATTCTCAAAGTGGGGTTTTCTTAGCAGAAAATAGTCGTCCTACAAATATCAAACGCAATGTGAATAAAAGAGAATAGCTGCACTTTGACTGACCTGAGCCTCTCAAGTCCATTGATATTATGGCACCTTAGGTACCTGCAACATATGAAATCAAGAAAATGTCTAAATCATCAGATTTATTCCGTCAAATGTAACCATAACCGTTTCAATATAGCATTTATCGGAAAACGTAGTGCAATTTTATGTGTCTCAAGTCAAGTAGTGACTGATCATTTTGTTAAGAACAATGCAACATATTTACTGCAACTCAAGAAGACATTATATGGTATACCCTCTGATTGAGCAACATATAAAGTTTGGTGCTCACGACGCAAGCGAGTTGGATGAAGAAGCTTTTCTCTGATAGAACAAAGCATGGAAACAACATCACTCATATCCATCCGCTCGGTAGGTGATTCAGCAGAACAAGTGAGTCCTATTTCAAATATAGAATTCAAGTGCTGAAGATGAGCGACATCTGCAAGTGTGTCTTGAATAGCTCTCTCTTGAAGAAGAATGGGATCTATGATCTCGATCACTCGATCAGGCAAAGCTGCCGCGACAAAGTTGTGAATGTTGACACCTTCTTTGAAAATATCATGAGTCGGCTTTTTTCTGGTAAACATCTCTAGCAAAAGAATGCCATAGCTGTACACATCGCCTTTTGCCGATAACTCACCTCCCATGCCATATTCTACAATTTGTGCATCAAAAATTACATATAGAAAATATCAAAAAAGTAGACCCAGGAAAAAAATATATAAAGATAAGCCTCTCATGTCCATGCTTTAAATCTATGAAAAACCACTTCAGGATTATATGTTTTGCTTTTTCAGATTATGCTATGAAAAGATAGAAGCATGTAAAGAATGTTTGTAAAAATAGAATAAATGAATAAAGTGAACTCACCTGGTGGAGCATAGCCAATTGTTCCTCTTAATCCAAGGGAGCTCGACTGATTAGTAGAATGATTAGGTCCATCTGCAGAAAGAATTTTTGCTAAGCCGAAGTCACTTAAATGGCCAACCATTTCCTCATCGAGTAAAATATTGCTTGGCTTCAGATCACAGTGAATGATGGATAGCTCGCAGTGATGGTGGAGATACTCCAGTGCATGAGCAACATCTATGGCGACATCAACTCTTTGAAATAAGCTCAGATTTCTCATCATCTCCGATTCATTCATTTCGGTAGATGGATGTAACCACTCCTCCAAACTTCCATTTGCCATGAACTCATAAACCAATGCTTTAAAATCATTACCTTGGAAATCGACACCTGAAATGGCTGTTAATATCTTGACAAGATTCCGATGTCGAATGTTCTTCAATGACTCACATTCAGCCAAGAAACTCTTGGAAGCTCCACGATTCAGAAGATTAAGCACCTTTACAGCAATAACTGCTCCACTTTCTTCAAGAATTCCTTTGTATACAGAGCCAAAACTTCCTGAACCAAGCAAATTCTGCATTGAGAATCCATCAGTAGCCCTTAAGATGCTTTGGTACGATAACCGTAAAAGCGGATTTCCTTCACAAATTGTTGTTGGCTGCTGCTCTTTCTTCTTTCTAAACCACAGGATGAGGAGACAAGTGAAAATCAAAGCCACCCCTAAAATCACAACAATAATTGCAATTCTAAGGGAAGTGCTTGATCCTCCGACTGATGTTTCCGAGTTACATTTGGACAAGTTTAACTCAGAGATGCCTCCACAAAGCTTATTGTTTCCCTCAACGGATGTAGCACTTGCATTCTTAAAGACTCCTTCACTTGGTATCACTCCCTCAAAATAATTGAAAGAAAGATTCAAATATTTTAATGACTTAAAACTCACAAGAAATTCAGGAATCCGACCAGAAAGATTATTTTCAGATACATCCAATGCCAGGAGACCTTTCAATGAACTCAAAGACGAAGGAATGGGACCTTCAAAAACATTGTCATCCAGGAGTAGGTACTCTAGACTAACACTACCGAGGTTGATTGGAAGCAAACCAGATAACCTGTTGTGAGAAACATGGAATTCACCTAGACTTTTCATTTTCTATTGAAGCAGGAAGTTCACCAGTTAAATAGTTTGATGATAAGTCTAAAGTAATGGACAAGGATGGAAGTCCAAGTACTTCAAGGGGTATTGGTCCACTAAAATTGTTATGAGATAGATCCATCCCAAGCAAGTTTTTGCAGCTACCTAGACTTGAAGGAATCTTGCCCTGAAGATCATTAAAATCTAAGGTAAGTTTGGTTAACTGTGTTAAATTTCCAATTGAATGGGGAATAATCCCAGAGAAGAAATTTCTACTAGCATAAAATATATTTAGTCTACGAAGCCTCCCAATATCAAAGGGAATGGGACCTGATGATTTTGAAATACCGATAACCACTCCAAATTAATGAGATTTCCAATCCCATTTGGGATTCTTCCCGATATTTTGTTCATATCTACTGATAAATATAAAAGGGTCCTAGAAAAATTGCTAATGCACTTGGGAAATGCCCCTCCAAAATTATTTCCACCTAGAAATAATCGTTCTAGTTTGGTATTGTTGACTAACGTGCAGAGAAAGTTCAAGTCACCTTCTTGTCCATTCCCCAAATTGTTTTTGACCATTTGAAGTGAATACAGTTTGTCCAGCTTTTTTAACGTAGGCACATTTCCATGGAGCCTATTATCCGAAAGTTGAAGTGAATTCAGATATGAGGCATTGGATATTGAAATAGGGATTTGTCCGGAGATTTGGTTACCGGCTATAGAAAAGAACTCAACATGTGGCATATTGATTTCAAAGTCGGAATGAAGAGTACCTTGAATCTTGTTTTGACCAATATCAAAGCTTGTAATGTTGGAAAGATTGAACATTGTGAGGGGAATAACACCAGATATTGCATTTCCTGCTACCGAGAAAAATGAAAGATTTTTCAGTTGTCCAAGAGCTTCAGGCATAGTCCCACTTAACTCATTCAATGTTAAAGAAAGTTCCACCAGGGATGACAGGTTGCCCAATGATGGTGGGATGCTCCCTCTCAAACTGTTGTTGACAAAATTCAAGAATTTCAGGTTCGACATGTGACCAAGCGAAGTAGGTATTTCTCCCGTTAGCTGGTTGCCTCTGATATGAACGTACGCAAGCTTAGAACAACTAGATAAATTGGAAGGAACTTCACCACTAATGGAATTATTGGTCAGCTCTAATGTTTCCAATCTTCTTAAACGGCCAATTTCTTGAGGAATCTGGCTGTAGAAGTTGTTGGCTGCAAGATCCAAGACCCTGAGAAGGCTCAAATTTCCAATGTACGGTGATAACGATCCCGAGAGTCTGAAGAATTGCAGTTCTAACTTGGTAACTCTCTGATGCCCGCGGCTGCATGTAACACCACGCCACTGACAAAAATGAATAGAACTATTCCAAGACTCCATAATCCCAAGCTTATCTCCGGTTATCTTGGCTTTGAACCGGAGTAAAGCTTGTTGATCTGTATCATTTCCTCTGACTAGAGGGCTTGTCGTTGCTAAACCAAGCAAGTTAAGACCCTGCAAGTTGAAGCATGAGAGAAGAATAATAACCTGAATGTAAACAGAGAAAAAAGAGCTGGACGCTCCCATATGCTTTTTGATTGGTGAGATTGATTTGTATTGGAGAGTTCTTGGTTTATCATCAAGAACTAGAGTGCTATATAAGTAGGTTTTGAACTCTGATATTTTTCTTGCTCTATCTCCCGTCAATTGGTTCAAGTTTTCCAACTTTGAAAGTCATGTGTTACCTAATTTAGATAGGTGTTTGGATTTTTTTCCCACAAGTTAGTCATTCCTGGGAAATACTTTTCCAAAGCTGAGTGCTTGTATTGTTGCATGTAGAAAAAGTCAATATGGCACCTTGCATGACATTAATTAGCCTTAATAAGGTTCATTAAGTAATCAATACACCTTCCTTCGGGATGCAGAATATATCATCAAAGAGTGTACTGCACTCATATAACCAAGATGGTTTGCTTCACAACTACACATGCACCAGACTTTACGGGATGTTATATTCAGCATTTCGGGCTTGAAAGGCGTTTTGACAAAAGAATTTGATTGATCACTAACGCAAGCAACTAAAATACGTTTCATACTCTTAACAAAGTGCTTGGTTTTCTTGTATTCTTCATGGCATTCTGAGGTGAAGGATAACCGTAGGACATTGTTGAGAAGCCATATAAGACAATCGAGTCCTGTGCCATATAACCATCACCACAAAGCCATGAACATGCTTTGCTACTAATCCACCATACCATTGGCCTCTTTAAAATCAATGCACCACTAACATAAAGCCAATGCCACTTAGAAATTCAGAAAAGAAGATATATCAAACTTTAATTCTAAAGCTGGAATAGCTCAGTTGGTTAGAGCGTGTGGCTGTTAACCACAAGGTCCAAGATTCAAGCCCTTCTTCCAGCGTTGTTAATTTGTAATTTTTAATTTATTTTTGGATATTTATATCTATTTATTAATTTTTTCCTGCTTTTGTTGGTGGTGGTCTCGGAGTATATATCAATCCGAACAATGATTAATATGTAATTTTTGGATATTTATATCTATTTTTTGGAGTGTATTGACATCAATACTCCCACGCAAGCAACTAAGGTACTTTTCATACTCTTTACAAAATGCTTGGTTTTTTGTATTCTTCATGGCATTTTCAGGTGAAGGAAAGCCATAGGGCATTGCTCGCTAAAACTTATCACAATGTTCACTTCCTCTTTGGTAGATGGCAATGGGGGACACAACATTCCTAAATATACTAAACTGATGAGTTGATTGCCTGTTGCTTAGAAGGAGATGTGTGTTTCTGATTTATTCATTGCTCGAAAAGTGGCATTTCTTCAAGGGTAACTTACCTTTGTTTAGGCTTTCATGTTTTCCCAAAGCTTTAATGATTAGAAATGACTTCGATGCATCTGTCTTCAAAGCTTTCCAATACATTTTGTCAAAGTAGAATCTGATGGTTTAGAAATCTACTTGATTTTCTATGATGCGTGAACCTAATAAAGGGCTTTCATTTTCGAAGTTGGAAAATTTGGACCAATGACAGTGACCCTGCTGAGAGAGTTTCCTCCATTTAATACGGCGTTTACTTGAGAAGTCTCCCTATATCCTTTTCTTAGACAAGAAATTAATGTTTTCTGAAATATCAACCATAAAACCAACCCCCAAGTAGACTCGTTTAACTAAACCTGTGATAGGGGCTTAATTTGGTTATTATTTTGCTTTTAAATTGCTACTTAATTGTTGATTTTTGTAACTAATTTGTTCGTTTTGATTCATTTTCTGTGTAGAACATTAGATTCTGGAAAATGCACTTAAAGGGCAGAATTCTGCAATTTTTTATATTCGGAATCAAAGCTGGCTTAGTGGGCATGACGCATCTGACGAGGCGATGAGTCAGCACCTTCTATAAGGTCCAGTCAATGCTTCTAGAAGGACGAATGGATCCGTACGTTTCAACAATTCAAATTCAAATTAAACTCATGTTTTTAGGATTTTAGTTTAAATATTTAATAATTATCTTTAGGAATTATCTTTTATTTTTAGGAATTATATTTTCCTTGTTTTTAGGATTTTTGAAGGCTATAAATACCCACTAAGAATAAGCCTAAAAACAATCTCTCTACAATTGAGAATCTACTCTTCTTTTTCTTTCTATTTTTATAAAGTTATATCTTTTCTTTTCAAGTTTTAATTTTTTTATTTTATTTTAAGTTTTATTTTTAAACATGCTAAGTATGACTCTTGTCATGCTTAGCTAATTTTCTTTTAAGTCGAAGCCTAAAGCGATGACTCAATTCCAAACGTGAGAATTGTAAGGTTCTTAAATAGCTTCGAATAGCTCTCTCTATTTTCTGGGCTTATTTTCAAATCAAAACAAATTTTAAAACCAAAAAGTTGATGTTGGTCTGGATGTTGTTATGGTTAACGTGGGAGGAAGAATCGGCTTATTGAAGCACATTCGACTTCCTGGGAGCACATTTAGCAAAATTGTTTGCTAAAAGGAAACTGAAATCGGAACAAATTACTGTTGAAACAACATAATCCGAGTCGGTAGCTTTTCGAGCCTCAACGTTTTTAGATCTACAACATTGTTGTTGCTTAGATCAATTCACGAACTGATATTAAAGATCACACTTGGATATTCGGTATACAAAGCATAGTCACAAGGATTTGTCCTTGTAGACAAGTAATCAGCATGAATCCTGAAGTAAAATCTATTTCGATGATCAAGGAAACAGAGTCAAAGTTGAAAGTCTGATGCTACTTTTTACAATAAGTCTTCTTTTCAAACACTAATTACTATTTTATTTTATTTATTATTTGCCTTTATCTTATCTTCAAATATTTTTTTAAAACCCTATATTTATCTTTTCTTATCTCACCTTTTATTTTTATATTTTTATTTATTTATTTATTATCTTAAATTTCATCTCTATTCAAACTCTACCGTTTAAAAACAAGAAGATAACTAAATCAGTTGTAGAGTTTATGTGGGATCGACCTTTTATATTTTATTTATATTTCTTTTGTTATATTTTCTTCATATTTCTTCTGGGATTAAAGAATTATTTTGACGTGAAAACGATGCGTGTGGCCCATGGAAATAGT